AATTTTCCCCTTTTCCATTCTATAAAGAACAATGAAAACTAGAATACAACAATAAATACCATACGAAAATACAGTGCAAAGTCGCTGTTTTATTAAAAAAAAAAACGGTCAAAGTTTTTTTTCTCATTATGCACTGTGTGCTGCAGCATTTTTTTTTATACTGAGCACACTGACTACATAGACCCATTCTTTCATATGTAGGCCTACCAGCTTTCTCCCACTAGATTTGAAGGCGCTAGAATTTATGTGTACTAGTACGTCATGGACACTGGTGCGTAAGCTGTACTAGTACAGCCGAAACCCTGAAAGGGTTAATGTGTTCAGCTACATTTACCTCATGGGAATTCATGCCACCTTTTCTAACATCAGAAAACTCATTTACAGAGTTCTATAGTGGCTGAGCAATGCACCAAGCTTTTCCACTTTAACATCAAAAGTAACCATTTCAAAGTCTTTTACAGATTGCTGAAAAAGCCCATACACATTTTTGTGAATAGGTGTGCGGGTTTTAGTTTCATCAGAGACCTCATTCACCAGCAGGTGCCATTCATAGTTAATCACAGCATTCCTAGGAGCCAGGCTCCAGTACCAACACCACCCCTCTAGCCTCCAGAGCATGTAGCACTAGCAGGCTGGTTCACTGCTTCCGCCCACCTCATCTTAGCCCAACAGTATCTGAAACTGAGAAAATACATCGAGGGGGAAGCATCACCATCCTCACCTAGCCCATGACTTAATGATACCACAGTTCTTCCCCTCACGGTAATGAATAGGAGGCACATACCCTCATCCCAGTCTTTCTGGTACTGGGGAAAACAAACATGCATTGTCCTGACGGACTGGTAAAACCAGTCTTTGATTCTCAGAGTGATAGACATTGGTAAATTTAACCTTAAGTAAGTCTCTCAAAACTATATTGACTTTTTATAAAATTTGACTTCTGGTTGGCTTGTTAAAAACCTAGCTGACAAAATTTTACCAGAAATCTCAAAACCACACACACAAAATTGTTAGGAAGGGGCAGGAACTCTGGTAACTTGGAAAGAAGATAAGTGATTGGTGTTGCAACCCCTGAATGGGTTACAATGTATATTATGTATATGTATATGATTATTACCTTTTCATATAATTTTATATTGCTTATATTTGTGATAATAACTAAATCATAAATATATTGCTTTATATTATTATTTGACTTAGTTACTTTTGTTAGGTAGGATGTAACAAATCTATTATGTGATTGTCTATCTACTGTAATTATCGCTGGTGGCTCGTTACTCTGCCGGCTTCTCTGTTGCTGAGCTGCAGCTGTCCACGGAGCTATTACGTGATCGAGGGGGGGGGGTGTCCTCACCTCGCCTGAAGTATTCAGTCTGGTCTAGATTCTCTTGATGGTTGGACGTATTCTAGACAAGAAGTGCCTAAATCTCCCTTATTGGCCCTTGTTGGAAGACCGTCTCTTGTCTCATTATTGTTGTAGGTTCTGTGGGACTCTGTTCACAGAACATTGTATAGACTTAGTGATTTTCGACGTTGTGCTGAGGTGTGTTGCATAGACACTCTGAGCAACTCAGGTCCTGAGCTGTAGCTTCTGACCTAATTTGTACTGGTTTCTGACTTTGTCAGTCACTTGTTTAAGTCTAGTCTAGTCTTGAGACATAGCAAATTACTTAGAGCACTTACACACAAACTTACTTGTACATATTTGTAATATCTTATTAAATGTTAATGTACCAGACGGTACTTAAGAATTATAAATGTGATATGTGCTTTCAGCACAATAATATTGTACACGAGAGAAGTGATTATTCTTATTTTGTTGATACTGATTTAATTTAATTTGATAATATACCTCTAGACTTAATAAATTTATTAAATTTTATTTTCTCTAGTTAGTAACCTACCAGTTGTAATCCTGAAGCACTATTGAATCGTACTGAATTCTAATGGATAATTGGACAAGGATACTGACTAATTGTTACGAAAACCCAGTAACAGGCTGGATGCTAGAAGGGCAGTCCTTTCTAGTATTCACTGGAGATCTCTAAGCTTTTTAGAATTGCGTTTTTTGTAACAATTGGTAAACATTTATTATCCAACTCTCCCTTCTCAATACTGAAATATCCTCCATTGGGAATCTGTAAAAATTTCAGAACCTTTTTTCCAAATGACTCTGACATGACTTCATGGGAACCACTTCCTCTGTAACAACTGGCAACTGAACAGCCTTCAGGGAGTCACCACATCCTTGGACCTCATCCAGCTACATTAGAGTTAGGGTATTCACTCCCATGCCAGCACCAAGAATTCCCTTAAACTGGGTTTGACCTGGGCTGGTTCATCACTGCCCAGAGTCTACTACAGGTAAGACTCAATGAACAGGCTTCCCATGCCCAAATCATCACCAAAGTCAGGAGAATGATCAAGGCAAGGCACAGAAGTTTTTCCCTTGCTCACCTTGCTAGTCATAGTACACATTGAAAAATTTCCAGTCACGGTAACTTGAGGTTTCACTTTAAAACTTGGCAAATCAGGATCCCTCCAAAGCAAACATTCCTCACTTTTGAGAAGACCCATAACATTGTTGCCTAGTAGTAGGTCAACACTTGGAAAAGGTAAATCATCAGTAATACCAACAGGCAGGTTCCCAGACTGGTAAACAGACTCCAACCACAGTCTAATAAAATACACAGCAAAGCACATAAGTACATTAAATGATTAATTTATGCACAGAGAATTATTATTACTAAATAACTCCCTAAATCACTAAATGCACACACACAGAAATCAGGCAGAGAAATACATGTATTAATTGCACCTGAAATATAGTTATTGTTAATATATCCTTCCTGTAAAAACTCTCCGGGCTTCAAATATGAATTACCATTCTAACTTTGATAATTTTTGCCTGCAGGCCACCATAATACAACTTCAACATCATAATTTACATAAAATGCCCTGGCTCCTAAATGCCTGCTCAATCTACTGTCTAGGGGCATTTAAATTACACTGAAAAACAAAGCAGCTCTTGGGACAGCGTGTATTTTCATATAAATTATGAAGCATGAGTGCAAATAATTAATATAGTATAAGGAAGGGTATGTGCTGTTGCATTCTTCTGATCCCTTTCCTGATGAAACTTTTAATGAGAGTGCACTACTTGTGTATATTGGTATACCGTTTCAACAGGTCTTTGTTCTCTGCTGCATTATACTGCATCCCATATTTATCTGCATAGGTGGTATACAGTTTTCTCTCCCGTGCATTCTGTATCTCTGATATTGCATTCTTGATCTCTTCTCTGCCACTGCCCATCTTGTTATTAAGTGATTTTAATGTTCATTATCTTTGGGGAGCTTCCCACAGTGACTCTCATGGTGATCACTTGGAGATTCTAATCACTTCTCATCCTCTTCATGTTTTTTTATGAGTGCTCCAACTCATTTTGACTCGCACTCAGTCTCTTGCACTGATTTTTCAATCTGCTCCTCGTCAATTGCACTTGATTATACTTGGTATGTTCTCCCAGATTTGCTTGACAGTGATCACTTTCCTATTCTTACTTCCACCTTGTATTCCAGCCCACCTTGTTGCCCCCATTGGCAATTTCTACAAGTGATTTGGGACTTATCCTCTCATCTCACCACTTTTGACTGCAGTGGCAAGTTCTATTCCTCATACCTCAGGCAGGCATTCTCAAACATGTGTGCCTTGGTGGTCTCCAGTGTGTGTGTCTTGCAATGCATTTGAAATGTGCTGCATGGGGCTTTTATCAATATAATCGGACAGCAGATCGTCTTTTGGATTTTAAGCAGGCAAGGGCAGTTGCTTGCCATTCATACGTGATGCTAAATGCACTTGTTGGAAAGACTATGTTTTTACCTTTACCTCGACTTCTCCTATGTCTGGGGTTTGGAAGAAGGTATGGAAGTTGTATGACAAGTACACTCCAGACCCAGCTCCTGTTTTGTAGGCTGCTGGTGTTAGTGTTGTGGAATCTCTTGAAGTTGCCATGGAAATCAAGAACTGTCTTTTAGTGTCTTCCAAGGGCTTCACCTCTGTCCCTCAATTCTTGATTCTAAGTCTGCCAAGGAGCAGTCACCCTTGGATTTCTCTTCTAATGGGATGGATCTATATAATGTACCTTTTACTCTTTTAGAGCTAGGGTCCACACTTTCTGCTTGCTGGTCATCAGAAACTGGACCTGATGATATTCATATCTGTATGCTACAGCATCTGCATTCTACAGCATCTGCATTCTACAGCATCTGCATTCTACAGCATCTGCATTCTACAGCATCTGCATTCTACTGCATCTGCATTCTACAGCATCTGCATTCTACAGCATCTGCATTCTACAGCATCTGCATTCTACAGCATCTGCATTCTACAGCATCTGCATTCTACAGCATCTGCATTCTACAGCATCTGCATTCTACAGCATCTGCATTCTACAGCCCTTACAGTCCTTTTGCATCATTTCAATCTTGTTTGAATGTGAGGGGTTCTCCATCAACAATGGAAATCTTCCATTACCTGGAGTTTACCTGGAGAGAGTTCCGGGGGTCTACGCCCCCGCGGCCCGGTCTGTGACCAGGCCTCCTGGTGGATCAGAGCCTGATCAACCAGGCTGTTGCTGCTGGCTGCACGCAAACCAACGTACGAGCCACAGCCCGGCTGATCCGGAACTGGCTTTAGGTGCTTGTCCAGTGCCAGCTTGAAGACTGCCAGGGGTCTGTTGGTAATCCCCCTTATGTGTGCTGGGAGGCAGTTGAACAGTCTCGGACCCCTGACACTTATTGTATGGTCTCTTAACGTGCTAGTGACACCCCTGCTTTTCATTGGGGGGATGTTGCATCGTCTGCCAAGTCTTTTGCTTTCGTAGTGAGTGATTTTCGTGTGCAAGTTCAGTACTAGTCCCTCTAGGATTTTCCAGGTGTATATAATCATGTATCTCTCCCTCCTGCGTTCCAGGGAATACAGGTTTAGGAACCTCAAGCGCTCCCAATAATTGAGGTGTTTTATCTCCGTTATGCACGCCGTGAAAGTTCTCTGTACATTTTCTAGGTCGGCAATTTCACCTGCCTTGAAAGGTGCTGTTATGTGCAGCAATATTCCAGCCTAGATAGAACAAGTGACCTGAAGAGTGTCATCATGGGCTTGGCCTCCCTAGTTTTGAAGGTTCTCATTATCCACCTGTCATTTTTCTAGCAGATGCGATTGATACAATGTTATGGTCCTTGAAGGTGAGATCCTCCGACATGATCACTCCCAGGTCTTTGACGTTGGTGTTTCGCTCTATTTTGTGGCCAGAATTTGTTTTGTACTCTGATGAATATTTAATTTCCTCATGTTTACCATATCTGAGTAATTGAAATTTCTCATCGTTGAACTTCATATTGTTTCTGCAGCCCACTGAAAGATTTGGTTGATGTCCGCCAGGAGCTTTGCAGTGTCTGCAATGGAAGACACTGTCATGCAGATTCGGGTGTCATCTGCAAAGGAAGACACGGTGCTGTGGCTGACATCCTTGTCTATGTCGGATATAAGGATGAGGAACAAGATGGGAGCGAGTACTGTGCCTTGTGGAACAGAGCTTTTCACCGTAGCTGCCTCGGACTTTACTCTGTTGACGACTACTCTCTGTGTTCTGTTAGTGAGGAAATTATAGATCCATCGACCGACTTTTCCTGTTATTCCTTTAGCACGCATTTTGTGCGCTATTACGCCATGGTCACACTTGTTGAAGGCTTTTGCAAAGTCTGTATATATTACATCTGCATTCTTTTTGTCTTCTAGTGCATTTAGGACCTCTGGTGGTCTGGTGGTTAACGCTCTCGCTTCACATGGTGAGGGCCTGGGTTCGATTCCCAGCCAGAGTAGAAACATTGGACGTGTTTCTTTCAACCTGTTGTCTATGTTCCCCATCAGTAAAATGGGTACCTGGGTGTTAGTCGACTGGTGTGGGTCGCATCCTGGGACACTGACCTAAGGAGGCCTGGTCACAGACCGGGCCGCGGGGGCGTTGACCCCCGGAACTCTCTCCAGGTATCCAGGTATCTAGTGATCCAATAGTTGAGACAGACAGGAGCGACTTGTTCTAAACCCAAGTTGCCCTGGGTTGTGTAACTGATGGGTTTCTAGATGGGTGGTGATCTTGCTTCTTAGGACCCTTTCAAAGATTTTTATGATATGGGATGTTAGTGCTATTGGTCTGTAGTTCTTTGCTGTTGCTTTACTGCCCCCTTTGTGGAGTGGGGCTATGTCTGTTGTTTTTAGTAACTGTGGGACGACCCCCGTGTCCATGCTCCCTCTCCATAGGATGGAAAAGGCTCGTGATAGGGGCTTCTTGCAGTTCTTGATGAACACAGAGTTCCATGAGTCTGGCCCTGGGGCAGAGTGCATGGGCATGTCATTTATCGCCTGTTCGAAGTCATTTGGCGTCAGGATAACATCGGATAGGCTTGTGTTAATCAAATTTTGTGGCTCTCTCATAAAAAATTCATTTTGATCTTCGACTCTCAGTCTGGTTAGCGGCTTGCTAAAAACTGAGTCATATTGGGACTTGAGTAGCTCACTCATTTCCTTGCTGTCATCTGTGTAGGACCCATCTTGTTTAAGTAGGGGCCCAATACTGGACGTTGTTCTCGATTTTGATTTGGCATAGGAGAAGAAATACTTTGGGTTTCTTTCGATTTCATTTATGGCTTTTAGTTCTTCCCGCGATTCCTGACTCCTAAAGGATTCTTTTAGCTTAAGTTTGATGCTTGCTATTTCTCTGACCAGTGTCTCCCTACGCATTTCAGATATATTGACCTCTTTTAGCCGCTCTGTTATTCTTTTCCGTCGCCTGTAAAGGGAGCACCTGTCTCTTTCTGTTTTACATCTACTCCTCCTTTTTCTTAGAGGAATAAGCCTTGTGCATACATCGAGTGCCACCGAGTTAATCTGTTCTAGGCATAAGTTGGGGTCTGTGTTGCTTAGTATATCTTCCCAGCTTATATCGGTTAGGACTTGGTTTACTTGGTCCCACTTTATGTTTTTGTTATTGAAGTTGAATTTGGTGAATGCTCCCTCGTGACTAATCTCATTATGTAGGTCTGGGGCTCCATGCATACATGACTGAACCTCAATTATGTTTGATCTGAGTATATTGTTTTTGATATGGTGACATTTCTTATCAGATCATCATTGTTAGTGAAGATGAGGTCTAGTGTATTCTCCAGTCTAGTAGGCTCTATTATTTGCTGGTTTAAATTGAATTTTGTGCAGAGATTTAAGAGCTCGCGTGAGTGTGAGTTTTCATCAGAGCTGCCTCCTGGTGTTATTACTGCAACAATATTATTTGCTATATTCCTCCATTT